GGAGGGCTGTGTCTACAGACCAAAGCCCTTGCGTTTGGTTGTCTCTCGGCAATGACAGCTGAAGGGGCGCCCCGTGTCTGCCTCTACGGCGCGCACCAGGCGAAATAATTTTCTGTACTGATACCGTGCTATCGGCAAGGGGACCCGGCTGGAGACCCTGCCGCCCGGTGCTGGAGTGCTCCAGGAGGCGCTGCCGGGCGGCCCCCAGGGGGGAGGAACCCCCGAGTCTTCGGAGGGGACACGGCTGGAGAGGGACACCCGCGGCAGAGGGATTAGCATTTTACAGCCGGAGAAACACCGCCTCCGCCAGCAAATCCTCCCTCGGGGAAGTGTGTGTGTGTGTGTTTGGAAACGCAGCAGAACGGCTCATAGTTTGTAACTTTCATATATAGATCAGTTTTCACGTATAGATCAGATTCCCTCCCAGAGACAGACCTGCTTTGTAGTGTGCATGGAACTGATTTAATTTCCCCTCTCCTTTTTCTTTTTTCTCTTCCTGTTTTTGTTCATATTTTGATTTTCTCATCCCACTTGTCTTCCATTCCCTTTATTTTTATGCTTTAACCACCAAATCTCTTTTCTTTTCCATATATTCCCTTCCAGTGAGGATAATTTGCCCCCTCTCCCCAACCATACCTCTAATCAGATGACCAAATGTATCTTTTTAAATGTCTTTGTGAGAGAAACAAGACCTGTGTGAGTGTATAAAACCATACCATCTGAAGTCTGAATTTAAGAAAAGAAATCCAGTTATTTCCCCCAAAATAAATGATATACAGAAAAATATCTTGGGAAGGTAAATCCAGAAGTCATACAGGCACGGAGGATGCTATGGGAAGCAAGATGTGGACGTTTGAGAGGCTCCCCAGGGTGCTAGGTCTGGGACATCTGCCCTGTGGCACCATCAGCCTGCGAACTGGATATACTGCCCGTGAATGGCTAGAGCTGATGTGCTTTTAAAAAATACCTGTTGGGAATGACTCATAGAGCAGACGCAAGTATCCACTCGTGTTTCTTTTGGAGCTGTTTTCAACTGGAACAGCAACACAATTCGGATCCAGTCTAGTCCTGTTCTTCCCAACAGGGCCAGACAGCAGCAACAATTTGTTTTTTGGCCCAAAGTTGTGTCCTCCTCTCCCTTCATGTTGTGGCCACCCCCCTCTTTTGCAGTTCTCAATTCATTACGTGCCTAATACTGTGGAGCATTAGACAGGTGAATATGGAAAAGTTGGTTCATTAAGTATATGGAAATGAATGTAGCCACTCACTGGGCTGAAGCATGCCCTAATAAGCCTTTTCTGTAGTCCTTCAGCAGCGAAGATAGAAGCTCAGGTCTAAAAGCAGTCTTGGCCTCTTGGCCTAAGCACAGGCGAGACAGGACTGTGGCTGGAAGATGTTTTCATCCAGCAAGTTCCCCCTACAAGGGATCCCCCATTAGTGTCAGTAGGTTCACTACCTTCAGAGGGCGGGAGCTCAACCTTGTGCTGAAGTGATGCAAACACACCAGTTTACATAAACTGGAGCTGGGGAAGCAGCAGCTGGCTGATACTGTAAATCCAGCTCTGGAGCTCATACCACTGGGTCAGAAATGCTATGGGTTCCTGCCACAGAGCATTGCTAAACTCATTTTCATCAGCAGGTTAATGTTATAGCAGTAGAGGTTGTCTCAAATTTTATGTAGATTAGGTGCCCTTCTGTCCTCCTGTAGCTAGCTCAACCGTGGGTCATCTGTGTTCTGGTGAATACTGTGAAGTGTCACTGAGTGTCGCTGTGTCATTCTGCTCATGTTCATGGGGCTCAGCGAGGCGGCAGGGTGCAGGCTCGGTATTAGTGAACAGGGAACCATGGCCTGAGCCCTGTTGCCCCTCAGAGGTTTCCCTGGGAGCCATCATCCTCTGTCAGGGATGTGCGTGGTAGGTAGAAATCCCTCCCCTGTATTCTACTGAGCTTGTCTGGCTTTTCTCCTAAGCAGGCACCTTTGATTTTTTTTTTTTTTAAATTGAACACTCCTCAAGTTAGGTGTAATAGGAAAACACTCCTGCCCTGCAGCCCTCGGTACTCGCCCAGCACTTGGCTCCGGACAGCCTGCCCCCTGTAGCGTGGTCACAGCTCACAGTCTGGACCCAAGATGTCATGTTTGTGGAAGGAAGACGGTCAAGAAAGAATAACAAAAATTAGACCCTCATTCATATTAAAATACAGTTTTCCTTTCTTTTGACTCTTTAGGGGAGCAGGTCGAGAAAAGGACAAAGCTTCTCCCTCCCATTAACAACCCAGTCTCTCAATCACCTGAGAATTACTGGATGATGTGGCCCTTTGTTAGCAGCGAGAGGCAGACTGGGACAGAGGAGCCGTGGCACAAAACCAAGCGACTCCCTGAAAAGGCAGGAAAGCTGAGTGTCAAAAAACAGGTGGGAAGCAGGCTAGCGAGCCAGCCCAAATTTCTAGGGTTTGATGGGTCTGTTCGTTCTTTACCAACGCTTCATCCGTGCCTGCCACGCACATGATGCTGGAGTGCTATAGTTGTAAACACTCATCTCAAGAAGCATTTCCCACTAGTGCCCATCAGCTGGAATATGGAATATTCCAAGGGAAGAC